GGGATCCAAGATTATCTTCTGTGTCTGTGTTAATTGGTTTCCCTTTTCTTTGTTGAAGAGGGTCTGTGCAGTCCTTCTGCCAAGTCCGCCATCTTGCCAGAACTTCTCACCATCATCACTTCTAAGGAGCATTCTGGGTTTACTACTACTGTGTGTGTGTGTGTGTGAGTGTGATTGTGAGTGTGTGTGTGTGTGTGAGAGAGAGAGAGATTTGGGTGAAAGTTTACGAAACAAATTCACTTTCCATACAGCAGTTCCTATACATTTTGTCTCATGACATTGACTGCAATTCCCACAGTGTAACAGCTCTCTTTCCACTTCCTCGCCATAGTTAGCCTCTTCCCTGAGTCTTTCCCTCCCGTGCACTCCTGCACCCCAAGCTATCTCCTTGTGCAAACACTGCCCTTCTGTTCTCCCATGATTAATTGTTCGAAGGAGTGTATCTACCTGGTGTACATGTTCAGCCTATATGCCTGTCTCTTATTTGGCTGAAAACCATAGGAGTGAGTTCAGTTCCAGACCTGAAGTATAACTAGGGGCCATAGTCTCAAGGGTCTCATCAGGCTTTATCAGAACAGCAAACCTGGTCTTTATTTTTTATGATTTGGAGTTTTGTTCCACATTGTTCTCCCACTGTATCCAGGATCTCCTGCTTGAATCCCCCTCTCAGTGGTTGACAGTGGTAGCTAGGTACCATCTAGTTCTGGTCACGTGGTCATCATATAGACTGAGTATCACATGGTCTACTAGTCCCTTGGACTAATTGTTTCCATGCCTCTTTTGGTTTCCATTCCTTGCTTTGGGTGAGGAGAGACCTATCGTTAGATCTAAATGGCCAGTTGGAAGCTTTTAAGACCCCAGTAGCTACTTACCAAAGTAGGATGTCGAACAGTGTTTTAATGTAGTATGTTATGCCAATTTAACTCGATGTCCCCTTCAACCCCGTTCCCAAGCCTGCAGATCCAACTACTCACTCCCTCCAGGCAGTTGGCTGTGACCAAGAAGCCACTACAACCTTGCTCCTTGTCAGCTCTACTGTATACCCAGACTTTTTCCTTATATATATTTTAATACTGATTTGGGTGGAAGATTATAGAGCAAACTCACTTTCCATACAGTAGCTCACATACAGTTTGTCGCATGACATTGACTGCAA